TCGGCTGTTATTCATTATTTTTACATTAATGTTTCTCGACTATATATATATATATATATATATATATATATGCACTAAAAGGCATTTAACTATCAATAAATATAAATCTCAGTGTATTAAATATAAATCTCAGTGTATAATTATATTATGGTTCTCTTGTGTTCTCAACAATAGAAAAGCATTCAATAAATATATGTTTGAGCTCATTTTTGGAAAATAGAAAAGCCTAATGAAAGCGTTTGGGTCGAGTAACTGTAGGTCCATCAGCCCCCACCCTTAGAGTGTCCCCCCACCAAATTTCATCACAAAGTTACACCCTTGGTATGGAGTGTAAAATAGAAGAGAAGGTTTTGTGAAGCCCTATGAGGCCAAAATTAAACTTTCTGATAAAGATAATCATGTGTTTTTTATAATGAAGAAATGTGGATTTACAAAACAAATTACAGAAGGTGATGTTATGTTATATTAAGATAAAGGAAGGTGGGAAGGAGAAGGAAAACAAAAATGGCATATTGGATAGCTGACTTTGTAGTTTCATATCAAATTTGGAACAAAAATGGATGCTGAAAAAAACAACAATAAAAAAAACAATACAAAAAGATCTGATAATATATATATATATATAAGTACCCAAAATGAATAAACAGTTGTATTTGTATTCTCATTATTATAATAAATAGTTATGTTTTCAGTTTTGTACTTTATCAGCTCCTAATCCAGAATTAACTGACCTGGTGACCCTGGATCGCCCTACATTATAACAGTTTTATTTGTTTATTCATTTTCCTTTTTTTTTTATTTCCTGTTAAAGACAATCCAGAGACATCTCATTCCTAACAGTTTGTACTTTCCTCAAACTCCTGCTGTTAGGAATCCTTTATAATTGTACTATTTTATGCCCTCTGCAGGCCAACTCAAGTACTGCATGTAGTAAGTCCCTTTTTGATTTCTTGTTTGCAAAGTAATTTTTAGAAGTCGCCATTTTTGAAAGTAGGTTATGTGTCTCTTTGGCAAAGAAATTCCTATTTGGTGGTGAAAATACAGCAATAGGCATATTTGCCTAATGAATCAGTTTTAATACAAGAAAGTTTAAACCAGATTATATTTAATAAATAAAATAATTGTTAAAGATTATTCACGTTTTTAGAGCGTAAAAATAGATTTTTAGTATTTATGTTGATACTAAACCATTAAAAAGAAAATAAAAAGTATTAAGTGCTTGTACATTAGTTCTATTAAACTTTTTGAATTAAACCTGGTTGAGCACAAAAATGAATAAAGGAGGGTGATTAAGATGGTTGTTGAATAATGTTAGTAGTATTCAGGTTTGTTACAATAGAGGGCAAAGGAAATAAAATAATGTGCTTAATATAAGTAGAAGTTCATTAAACAAACCAAAAGAGTGAAGATTTATAAACTAATAGTTGAGGGAGAGCTTCTTCTTAAGGCCACGGTGTGATTGGTTGTCAAACCTGATAAAAATAAATTAATTACCTTCTTGCATTCTTTAGCTAAAACCCTCCAATAGCAGCTTTTCATTAAATCTATATTAAGGTATAAAACTTTTTTTTATTGTACGAATACAATTTTATAATCTCAAGTGTGTGTTTATCAACTCTAAGCTACATAAATAAATGTTTTTTTTGGGTCCTGAACACCAAACATAAAGAAAGGCTTGAAAATGTCTGTGTCTAATAAATCTATTTATTGTTTTAATTGTGAGTACATGAAACAGATGAATGTTTAAATTGAGATGAACCTACAGTAGCAGCCATTCAAAATGGTCCAACTTCCAGCCACTGGCCTCCTTCTGGGCGTGTACATTGTTTTACTCTGACTCCATCCTTTCACTGAATTACAGGGTCTGACCAGGAGGCAATACTTCTCTTTAGATCTTAATGTCCACAAATTATGACAGAAAGAATATTTCAGTACAAAGATTGATGTTTAAAAAGGAACCTAAGAGGACCAGCCAAGAGCCCATCAAGGAAAGGGGAGACATTTTTAATGGCAACTACTGTATGTCTCCCATATACAGTGGGGTAGTTAAAAAATAACTGGACAAAATATGGATCGATGGAGACAATAACTGACCAGCTTTAGACTGGTGCTTCCAGCTACACCCAGGCTCTGACTAGTAATCTGTGATACCGGGCATCTGCCCAGTGGGCCGGTCATAATTTCAGCGTGCGAGGGCTGGCCCTCCTTAAATCATACTGGCCCCAACAGTTCCTCTGCGGCCGAAGCTCCTACCTGTGACAGTAAATAACTCCAGGAGCTCAAGAAGTAATACAATGTTAACTACCTAATTGATGCATGCAGTATATATAGCCCTTCCTTGTCATGCACATCCTTATGACGGTTGGCATATGGTGTCATTTTCTATTTCCTCAAAATGTAAAATTCCTATTTCTTCAAACTGTAAAATCCTTGCAACAAACTAGATTGTGATTAAATTAAAATGCTTCTTTAAACCAAACTACGATGTTCCTCTTATATTTGGCAAATTTATGTTTGAATATTTTGCAAAAATATGTTGCGGTGCATGGTGGGGTTTTGCATCTATTACATTATTCCATTTCATTGCCCACATGCCACCTAGACTGGCAGTGAACGATTACACACTGATGAGCTTCATGTATTCATTCTTGAACTGCCTGTCTGCCACTATATTAAATTGTTTTATGTTGGTGTTTTTAAAACATGCAAGGTTACGTTGTAGCCTAGTATGTGTGAGTGGGTGTCTGGCTGGCTTCGTGCAGGTGTGGACGTTACACAGCTGCAGTCACTGTCGCGTCCGTGTTAATAACCAAAGCCAGTAAAACTGCATTATGGAAGTCTTGTGGTTGTCGTGTGATGCTTGAAGATAGATTTGAGATGCAGGCATTTGACTGTGTCTCTATTTTATTTTTTTGTGAGGGGCGGTTGGGTGGCGGGGGTCCATAAATGGGCCGGTGTAGATGAAAAATTGCCAGGGCCAAAAATGGTTCCCAGTCTAAGCCTGGCTACACCTCACAGCTTCAGTTCTTTCAAAGTGGGACTCTGGAGAGGAATCAGTCAAAATCAAGTCTAACAGTTTTTGTTAAGGTTCAAGATCAACATGTTTTTTTTTATGTCATTGCAGGGAAATTGCTCCTCCACAGGTTTGCCAATAATAGCCACAGCAGTATTCATCCCTAACAGAACAAAGAGGTGATCTTCCGACTATAAGTTACAGATTGAAACATTGAAACTCCTCAAACTTTGTGAGAGAATCTGGGACTCAACTCAAACTGGGAACATGTGACATCATGTCCTGGGTTAACTTTTCATTTACTCAGCATACGGGAAGTCATAGACAGTTATCAATACAATGGCCTCGCCAATCTAAAGCTACATGTGATGGAAAAGCTGGTTTCAGTGGAAGACGACTGTGGACAAGAGACTTCCTCACAATATGAAGGATTGAAAGTACTTTTGAGAAACAGACACAACAGATTCTGACAGGCTCCTTTTAAAGTTGACTAAATGCTAAAAGACAGTTTAAAGGTATGTGGTGGAAAATTTAGATTTCTCTTGTTTCATATATTTAGTTATGCTATTTATCCAGTGAAAAATGTTTTTACTCAATCTATTACACCTGCAAGGCCACAAAATGTCTGAGTAATAAGGGTTTTGCATACAAGGAATACTTATTCCATAATCTTTCTCACGAATTGTTATTGTTTAAACAAAGTGTGTGTAATTTGTTTTGACTTTGACACAACCTTCACAGCTTTTTCCTCATTATAAGTAAGGGAGAAAAACTCTGTGTAGAGCAGAACAGGGCAGATTACTGTGCTATAAGGGCCGTATGATGAACTGTTCTCTCTTTGCAAAGATATGAAAATCAAGTGAAATCCATGGATCTCCTTTATTTAACTGGGGTGAATAGATGAATACTTTTTTCCCACTGCAGGTACTTCAAGAAAACATTGGTTGGGGATTTAGACGTCGCCATCTGGTTACTGACTTTTTTAGTTTTATTGATTTTATAAATTTTTTTTTCTGTTTTTGTTTTAATTTTACAGAATATACGTCACAATTTGTATGGAAAAATGATAAGATAATATGTTATGCTCTATTTCTAAAACAAAAAAAAAAAGGTTCACAGTATGTCATAATTCACAAAAAAACTTTGTATTCGCTAAATGCAACCATCACAATCTACAGACCTGATACTAGAGGACACCCATGACAGCTTTCTATGTGCTGCAGTTAGTCTGCACCACTGACAGAAGAAAAGAGCATCATTTTATTCTTGGCTCCTAAAGGCAAAGAAACTTAAAAGCAGAACGTTATTCAAAAATTAATTCTGTAACAAAATTAGAAAGAAAGCACAAAGCAGATCATGTCAATCAACTATTGTCTGGATGCTATTATCCTCAATAGGTTTTTAAATTGAATAGATATAAATGTATCATTACGTCTTTCCTATTTTTGATACCCAGTCTATTAATGGTAGCTAATTTTCCAGGCCAGTGGGCAGTGAAATACTATTGTGTGCTAAAAGATGGGGGTAAAAGCTAGAAAATGGTTCATTTCACAGGATAAGCTGAGCTTCTGGTGGCAGAGTGATGACATAATGCCATAAATTAGCACTGGGTCCAAGAGCCACTCTGTTGGTCTCTTTTCCTTCTCCTCACCTCTTGCTGCTCATTGCAGATCCGACAAAGCCACGTTGGACAACTCCTGCTGTTACTCCAGATCCCACATTTACTGCACATGTGCTGCAAGAAGTCAAATACACACACGTTATTACACACAGGGAAGCTACACAGATTGTGCTCTTTATCACAGGTGCATAAAGCACATATATTTTTACAGTTCATATGGCATTAACCTGTGTAGTTGAGTTGAGAGCAACAACAGGCAGAATGTCACGCAAAGGACCTGGAAATATGCATTAGGCATCAAAGCAAGTTAGCACATGGACAGCTGCCTGATTTGTTCCATAAATAGAGCTTTATAGAACTGCACAGCGCTGTAGAAGAGATTGTACAGCAGAATTTGGAAGAGCAAGAACAAAAGAGGGAGTAAAATAAAACAAATTTACAGTAAAGTATGACATGCTCTTTGCACTACAACAGACAGCCAATTATCCTTACCTATTTACTGTAGAAAATAGTCTATGCTGTACATAATCTCTTGTTCGGTTTGTTAGAGAACAGCTGCGAACCAATGGCATAATGACGGACTAGCAACACAGCAGACACAAGAGGAAGTAAAAAAACAGGGTTAGCTAATAGAAAAGAAATTGAAACATCTCACAGAGCTCTATTCAAGTCATTATCTACTGAGACATGGCTGTCAACCTACGCTGATTTTGGTACAGAGAAGAAAGTCAGACAGATAGTTGATCAATGGTGGAGACACATGAAGACTGCTCAGGTGTAATGCTATGTTCACACTGCAAGCAGCACAGGCAAGAAAAAAAAACACGTGTGCTGCTTCATTTTTGAAGCTTGTACAAGATTAGTTCTGATGCATGGCTGAAGCAGCTATATTTGCTGTTATAAGTGGGTAAAAAGTAGTTTTAATATGTTTTAAGTAAGAAAGTAAACCTGAAAACTTCAGTTCATACAGATTACCATCCTGCCTTCAAATATTGTTTCGCGGTCGGAGCCGCTCAGACCCCTGTACAATGGCGGTGCTCTGTGACTAGGGACCCCTTTCAACAGCAGCCTCTGGCCCGCTCACCTCTTCGCAGTTTTCTGCTTAGTTTCACAGCGGCTGGAAGGCTTTTTTACGTAATCCAAACTGCAGGCACAGAATAATAAAATCAAACAGATTTTGCTGCCAGATTTCAACATTTTAAGTTAATTTAGGCGTTAATAAAATGTTTCAGAGGAGTTATCATAGCGGTCTGCATCAGCAGCGCTGTGTCTGTCTCCCTGCCAGCTCCCAGATCAGCTTCTCTGATTGGTTGATATGGCGCGTCGAGCAGCATAAATAAAATTTTTCCGACTCCAGCAGCTGCTGCTGCTTCTGTTGCGCGTGTCAGGTGCTCAGAAGCTGATGATGCGCTGCTTCAGCTGCCCAGGAGGCACAGCTCCTGCTTCTCAAAACGCGCTGCAGGACTTTTTTCTCTGCCAAGATGCACATCAATCGTTGACTTTTCCTTTAAACCAGCGGCTTCTGCTGTCTGTGCTGCTTGTGGGGTGAACGTAGCATAATAATCCGTGGAAAGATGAAAGTCTTTGTTAAAAGTAAACCATAACAAAATATGTTTGAGGTCAGCCGTAAGCCATGTAGGACACCGAGCCAACATCTGGAGCAGTGGAGGCTCAGTGGTGTTAACTGAATCCAACCGTAACGTACTGCATTAACAAATGTTAAAAGACATCAAACACATAAATACAACGGGTGAAAATAGGTGCTGTAAAGCGCTCCGAAATGACAAACTCCAGAAACCACTACAAGATTTCAGCACAAACTGACAGTTGTGGCTGCATGATCACTTTTTCATCTCTCATCTGAGTCTCATGAAGAAAACCATTCTCTCAGGCCACTGTGGGTCAAAAATCCTATAGTGTGTTCTGCCAATCAGTATCGAGCAGGAAGCTTCACAATATCCCGCTCCTTAGAGCCTCTAAGAGGCTGAGCCTCACTGGAAGTGACATATTTCTGCATATTATCCAATCAGGGCTCTAATTTCTCACTGCTTACCTTAATAAACTGAGGCTCAAACCTCAACAGTGATTTCTCATAGAGGCGGCTGGGCAGCGTCCTGTTGCTCCAGAGCGGAGTGGAGCTTGCATCCCATATAAACAGCTGATTAATGAGCAACATACTTCATCAGGCGCATTTAGTACATTTTAATGCAGTTTAATGACTACAGTTATAAAGTTCAGCCATGCATATTTGAGCAGTTATTTAATGAAATTTATAGAATTCAATGAGAAGAAGGTGACACTAATTAGGGGGATGGTGCACTGGTCAAACAAGATTATAATTTACTTAAAGGTATAGAGGACGATTTTTTATTTACGGGTCGTCATCTAAATAAGTGGTCCTCCTGATTGTCAATCATTCTGGAGATATGTTTACGTAAGGCCATCCTACATGCCCTTCCCATTAGCTATCTTATTCTGCTCATGCACACTTTCAGGCGTATATCTATGGTGAGCACGATTTCAGTCATTGAAGCACACCTTTCTCACACTTTCTTTAAAATGGCAGAGGGTCGTAAGAGAAAAAGTGTCTATGAAGTGTTTGACAAGAAAAGAAAGGCCCCAGAAGGGGCAGATATATTCCAGAATGCTTTGCACGGAGAGCTCTCCTCGCAAAGCATTATGGGATTTGCTGTCACAGTGGCCCGCTGTCGCCATCCGACAGCGGCGACTAATAACAAAGATGGTGCAGGCACCACGCGGTGGAGGAGGAGTTAGGTGACCAACGGAGCAAAAAGCAGTGATCATCTGTCTGAACGGTAACTACAGAGTTCCCTATATAGTCCCCGCTCTATATAGTGATTGAGGGATTTAGGGGTTAGGGCGGATGTTCAGACACAGTAAGCTTGTATGAGCTATGAGAACAGCAGCTTTAAAAGAGAGTGTGCACAAGGAGAAATGGGCTCTCGCACATGCTTTTTTTTTTTAATGGAGAGGGTGGGTCTTTTAAATAAATCAAGAAAATTCTCCACAACACCTTTTAACACACCATTAAACATTGAGGTGGTGGCTCCATGCTGTTGAGTTTTCTTTAACAGGCATAAAGGAGGTCAGCATTGGGAAATGGAAGTATGCAACTAAATAAAGGAGAATTCTGGAATAAAAACCTGTTAGAGCAGCAAAAGACTTTTGAATGGCCCAAATAATCAGCCACAGCTACATAGAAAAAACTTAAATCCATTCTCAGGTAGAAACTCTTCTATATCTATACTAAGGTGTGCAATGATGTTCCTCAGAGGATTAGATCAGTCAGCTCTCACTAACTATTCAAGAAAACATACAGACTCTTCTCGTTCGATTGTTTCACCTTAAATCTTTAATGTTATGTTTGTTTAAATGCTTTTCTGCTCCAGAACAGGAATCTGAAGATATGAAACGTACTTTGTGAAGTGGTAGCTAAAATAATCCAGCTTACCTTTTTGCAGTGAGAACAGAGAACAGCTGTGACCCCCTGAGCTCCGAAGGACGCTCCACACAGCAGGCAATGCGACTGTCCATCCCCACATGCCGTCTTCTTTATGTTGTCCAGACGACTGGACAGACGCCTAAGAGAGCATCCAAAGACCTAGCATCAGCACAATGACGCAAACGTATCGCCCAAACAACATGGAAAACAGTTTCCATCTCACTCAATCCTCTGCTGCTCCATGGCCTCCATCTTAGCGGCACGAGCCAGCACGCCATTGATGATCTCCTTCTCCTCATCTGTGAGGTGCTCTCCCAGTGCAGACATGTTGTCGGCCATCCGGTCCTGCTGATATGTAACACACACCATAACAGACCCAGGATTGTTAGTGGCGTAAAGTGAGACAGCAGCTGGAACAAAAGACAAACTGTGCAAGACGTATGAATACAAGGAGTTAGATGCTAAAGTTGTAGGACAGTAGCACAGCTGGAAGCATGTTAGAGTTCAAGTAATGCTGAGCTTCAGCTGAAAAGGCCACAAAAAGCATCACACATATTAAAAGTTTGGGAAGATAATAAAGAACCACAGATTGTAAGAAATATTTTCTTGCATCAGTCTCACACTTTTTCCCCAAGTCTCTGAAAACTGAAAAAAACCCCACACCATCTGCAGGATGTGGTATCTAAGCATCTTCTGTTAGCTTAGCACTATTGGTTCATGAACAGAAAGAAAAGATTATTGAGTAGATGCTATATAATATTTAGAATTTCTTCATCAACATATTGAATTCATCTTTTAAAAAAGTGAATACATCAAATTCAAGTTTTCTTTAATCTAATGTGACCAGATTTCTGCAGTGAAATGTGGGGATATTTCCAGCTTTTTGATAAAAAGAAGTACATCTCATCAAGTTTATATCTAGGAAGTGTTAACAAACCTAATCAATTGTAAAAGCCAGGAATGCCTCTCCACACTTATATATTTTCTTCAGATTAATAAAATGGACAAATCGATTGTGTTAATAAAAAAAAAATAGAACTGTGTCTCTGTGTCCGGGGAAAGGTGTCGGGGTGAGGCTAGTGGGGTCAAGGGTCAACTTCGTGGAGCCTAGAGAGCATTGTGCATCTTAAAGAAGCAGGTTAATTTCTCCCACTAATGGGCTCTATGCACAGCTCCAATACTTCCTGAACTTCAATTAGCCTCTTTGTTACCTGCCTTTCATTAATGGATGAGCTAATTAATCCAGGTTTTGCTGCCTGGTTTCTGAGGGCCTTTTCTTTCTAGCTCTCTTCTGACTTCTGCCTGCTATCTGCTTTACTCCTCTAAGGTATTTTTTCTCCTTTCTCTTCAACTTTCTCTTTTCATCAGTGTTCCTATCATCTTTCTCTGTTCTCTTCAATCTTATACTATTCTAAAACGTAATTCACAATATATGTAGATAATATAATCACAATTCCTTCCTTCCTTCCTTCCTTCCTTCCTTCCTTCCTTCCTTCCTTCGAAAAGGTTGGTGACCCCTGTCCTACGCGCTACCGTAATTAGAACTGTAGGGTCGCCAATCTTTTTCCTCTGCTTTCTGGTGAGTTTTAGATTTTTCACTCATATGGGTCAGTTTCTTGCAAGGATTCCTCCAGCGCTGTTCTGTGCTGCACATCCAGCGGTGGCAAGACTGGGACAGCTTCATCTGTGGGAGCTAAGACCCGAGTGCTTGATGATGGGATACCTCTGATTTTAGAGACACTGACAGGGGATCTCTGGTTTAAGGAAACTCAAAACAAAACTAAAAAAACACAAACTAAACACAAGAGTTTCCTTAATTAAAAAGTTGCGTCAAAGTACGCCTACAGTATGCTCTTTGAATCAAGATCAAAAACATATGAACGAATGGTAAACTATATCCAGAACTGAACTTTTAAATCTTGTAATCCTTCTGAGGATTTAAAAGTATTTTTTGGCTTGTATGCTGCGTTTTACTGTGTATATGACACAATGAAAAAGAAAAATGCAATACAAATATTACAAATATCATGTTATTTTACCAAGTACCAACGTTCTCCCCTCACACCTTCAAGTTAGGTGTTTCTCTTTGTTTTCTTTCTGTTAAAGATGGTTGTCGCGGTTCATACCTGTTTGTGTTTTCAGTTTATCCCCAAGTTATTTAGTAGAGCAATAGGAAATAATTATTTAGATATAAAGAACCAAAACATTTTGAGAACTAAAAGTATCTTTTTTGATTAAATATGTTCTGATGTCCCACCCCACCTCCGTCTTCTTCTTCAGCCTCCTGTGAACAAGCTGAGGTGGCCACATGTGCATTGGGGTCTATGTGAGGAACTGGGCAGGGAGAGAGAGGCGTTACTTTTCACACATCTTGTTTTGGTCTACAGGCAGGGCTGAACAATAACCGAAGTGGCAAAATTTGGTTTATTACACATTTAAGTCCATGGATTTTGTAGCTCATACCTCCTGTTTCTCACTCCTATCCCTTCACCTTTCACTTGGTTTAACAATAAGAAATCTCTCCAGGGTAGGAAAGGAGCTGCTGTGCTGAATCTGGACAGCCTTCAACCATTATCATATTCTTCGTTATACAATAGAAACACACATGAACGATTCTGATCGAACAAGAACTACAGTCTTACAGAAAAGAACCACAAAAAGTGTAAATTATACAAATATAGTGAACGGCTGAGGCACTCAATTCTAAAACCCAAAACATATGAAGGCTCGATGTGAATACTTCCAATCGGTAAGGAAACTGAAGCCATAGCGAAAGTGCATCTGTAGTTTCCATTATAGGTGCTATCCTAATAGTGCCGCCAGTTAGGAAGGAGCTATGACTGAGCTGATGATACATACATTTACATGTGTTACACAGTGTACATATAAAAAAAACATGTTAATTAAACTCCATGAGAAGGACTTTGCCAACAGGTCCTTTCACAAAAGCATTGTAGGCAACCTTATAGCTCCAATGGAGCTTGATTAAGGATAGGGTGAAATTAGCGTTGTTAAATACCAGAGTCTTGAGATAATAAGAAACTAATGATTAAACATTTTTTCTAAGAAAAATGCTTTTTCTTTAGTTTTTTTGCCCATACAGAACCTGAAAGTTTGACATCACCACATGACATTTGTTAGCCAACTTGGTGGATTTACACACTGAAACGCATAGCAATGAATACTTGTGGATCTTGGTCAAGCGAACGTATTTCAACAGATGACGAACAGAATCCAGTTGACAAACAGGTCCTGAAGCTGCTGCCTGGTATGTTTGAGCCTGACGCCTCATCGGATCAGGCATCGAATGGGGAAATTCTGGTGTTTACAGCAGCAAAAATATTATTTTAAAAAATTATCACACAAATATGGACCTTAGAAAAATGTATGAGAATAACATATTAGTGAAGAGTTAAAAGATAAACAATAAAATGCTGTACTGTTAAGTATTTTAACAATATAAATACTGTGGACTTGGAGAATAAATAACCAATATATATCTATGGATAGACAATTTTACAGTAATGGATATTTGAAAATAGCTGCAACACCAGAGATGTACAAAATGACAGCAGCATGTTATTTAACTGACTAAGATAGATACTGTGCAAAATCAGCATGAATGTAAAAACTTGTTAGGGTTGTTGGGAACAGTGGTGGTTTTAGAGTCTTTCAGCTGCTGGGAGGAAGGATCTGTGATAACGCTCCCTGGTGCATTTAGGGTGTAGCAGTCTGTCAGTAAAGGAGCTCTCCAGTTCAGTAACAGCTTCATCCATGGGATGGGAAATATTATCCAACAGAGATGTTAATTTAGTAAGGATCCTTTTGTTTCCCACCTCCTGCACAGAGGGCATCCAATCACAGAGCTGCCCTTCTTGATCACCTTATCCAGCCGCTTTCTCTCAGCTACAGATAAGCCACTGCTCCAACAAACAGCTCCATAGAAGATGGCTGATGTAGGTGCATGCTGTGGAGAAACCATCCTTCTGGATTCAACTCCTTCCTCTGGGCTAAGTTTCAACTCAAAACCAGAGGATCCAGTGAACCTGCCCCAGCTGTTGAGCCACAGAGCATTTAATAAAACGTTGCTTGTGATTATACCCTGGCCTGTCTGCTTGACTTCTGGGTCCTATTTTCTGAGCTTTCAGGCGGATTAAACTTTAAACCCATTGGGGCCGAAGCGGCTGAAAAGATTTATCAGAAGAGTTTTCCAAGAGCCAAAGACCACTTTTCCAGAGCTTTAGAAAGACCTGGAATTAGCAGGTACAATTGCTACAAAGAAAACAATAAGTAATGCCCTCAACCGCCATGGCCTGTATGCACGCTGACCATGCAAGACTCCATTGCTGAAGAAAAAGCATGTTGAAGCTCATTTAAAGTTTGCTGCATTTAGACAAGCCTGTGGAATACTGGGAGAATATAGTCTGGTCAGGTAATACCAAAATTTTACTCTTTAGATGCCATAATACACATCATGTTTGGAGGTCAAATGGCACTGCACATCACCCAAAAAACGCCAAACCAACAGTAAAGTTTGGAGGCAGCAACATCATTGCGTGGGGCTGTTTTTCAGCCTGTGGTTCCAACAAACTTTAAATAATTGGAGGAAGGATGAATGAAAAAAATTACAGAGATATTCTTGATAAAAATCTGCTGCCATCTACCTGGATGATGAAGATGTAATGGGCAAGACAATGACCCCAAACACATAGCCGAGGAAACTTTCAACTGGTTTCAGAGAAAGAAAATAAAGCTGCTAGAATGATCCAGCCAATCACTTGGCTTTAATCTAATAGAACATCTTTTGAAAGAACTTAAGATCAGAGTTCATAGAAGAAGCCCGCATAACCTTCAAGATTTGGAGAGTGTTTGTGTGGAGGAATGGGCCAAAATCCCACCTGAGCAATGCATGTGACTAGTTTCTCCATACAGGAAGCATCTTGAAGCTGTCATTAACCACAAAGGCTTTTGTACAAAGTANTAGCACCTCTAGAAATATATTACTGAGGAAAATGGTGGCGTGTTCAATACTTATTTCACCCGCTGTATATGGTGCGCAAAAAAAATCTAAACCATGCTCCTACAGCACACATTAGAGGACCAAACCTACATGACAGACAAAGAATAGTCTTTATTTTAAGTGCAGGATAAGCTATAAAGGGATTCTGATTTTTAATTAGTGAGGCAATTAAAATATTGACAGACGGGTATGAATGCTGACCAGATGTACTGATGTGTGTAGAACTGCGCTGTTAAATAACACCTACTGCTGTCCAGCTGATGCTTGTCTCAAACACTTTACGTTTCAGCTTAAGGTCCTATTGAAGGAGGCAGATATGTTTATGTGA